TGTGTGTGTTGTTTATACGTCATGCTCCCACAGACTGTCCCTTTCTGGGACCCTGCAGATGACTGAAGAAAACTGTCACAGAGATACAGCACATCAGACTGGATCTGGGAGAGTGGCTGTTTCGTGGCTTCCAGCTCTCACTGGTTCTGTGCCTTGCTTCTATCTCTCTTATGCCTATTTTCTCCATCTGTAGAACTGACAGGGGACATTAAATAATCCTTAAATCCATGAAAACTGAATATCTTTCAGTATCTGATTTTCATTATTCTTAATAAACACCTTCACCAAGGTGGTATTGAGTCCAGAAATCATTAAAGGGCCCGAAGAAAGGTATGACAGGCTCTCATACAGCTCCTCTATATTCCCAGGTTTCAATCTTTCCAGGCTCTTCCTTTGTTCCTCCAGCCCCAGAGGCGCTAGCTGCTTCCTGTAGTTGCAGACTCCTCGATGCCTTAGAGCCCCCTTCTTTCCTGTTTAATTACTGGTTATCAGCTTTGTACCAGGTTAACAATTCTTTCCATTCCATTTTCTCGGTTTAAATAATTAGTATGGTTTCTGTTTCCTGCCTAGATGCTAATTGAAAAAGGATAATAACACCTACTTCATGGAGTTGTGGAGAAAAAAGAAGTCCATATGCTGTTGACTTTGAGCAAAAATGCTAAACAAATTTTCAAAAATTAAAAGAAATGTACTCGCTAAATGTACCTCATCCAGACATTCTGTGGGTGAAATCTCAGCCTGGCTGTGTCTTCAACCTGGCTCTGTGACAAGTCCAACCTTCTCACTATTTTTCTGTTTTAAACTTTGAATTGTTCAAGCAGATGGGACATATGAAAGCAAATGGGGAAAAATCTAAAGCCTGGCCAACATGGTCCAGACAGTCACCGGGGACAGCTCAGGCACATGGCCCCAGGAGGCTCCGACTATCCAACACGCAATCAGGGAAATGTGGTCTCGCTGTTTTGTTTTAATTACAAGGAGACGAACATCCTCGGGAACTTGTACCTGCACAGTATGCACAATAATGTACACAATGAAACATCTACATTGGGTGGAAATGCTTCATTACCTAGACTAGATTTGGTCTAATTAAAAAGTAAATCAAATTCATACGGGAAAATAATTGCCACCAGGCATAATAAGCTTGTTTTAATTTGGAATCTTAGGAAGAAGACACATTCCACTAGAAGCATGAGCTTCATACTATAAACTCAGAAGTAAGAAAACTGACTAAATACAATTGCTTAACTTTGGCTACCTTCAGAGAATTACGAGAAGGGACGTCTTTAATGGAGTGTCAGTATACCACATTCAATGTGCCCATAGGTCGCCGGGAGACACTGTGAGAGCAAACCAACGCTCCAATTGTGTTTGTCATCCCCACACTAATAGTCAGAGCTACAAAACCATTCACTGTGATATAGTTGGCACAACCAGTGACACTCAGGAAAAAAACCAAAGGACCTTGGAATCACATTTTAGAGTACTCTCCTAATTTTGCTGCATATTGGGAGACCAGTGACAGGGACAACTTTGAAAGTAGGATTCCCTTTGTAAATGATAGGGCCCAATGTAAGTAGTCAGAAGCCACTTGTAAAAAAGAACTCTATGCAGCTGAACAGGCCGCTTTTCCTCTGTGACTCTTCTGCCACATACATCACATAAAATACACTGCTTTCTGAATTCACAAGGGGGCCCTGGGAATTAGCCATCCCAGAACTCTAGAGAAAAGGCATTAATGAAACAATCCAATTAAAAAATGGGCAAAGGACCTGAGTAGACACTTCTCCAAAGAGGACATACAGATGGCCAATAGACATAAGAAAAAAATGCTCAATGTCACTAATAAGAATGGCTATCATCAACAAATCAACAAATGACAAATGTCGGCAAGGATGTGGGAAAAAAGGGAACCCTAGTACACTGTTGGTGGGAATGCAAACCAGTGCAACCAGTATGTAAAACAGTATGGAGTTTCCTCAAAAAATTGAAAATGGAACTGCCATTAGATCCAGCGATCCCACTTCTGACTGGTGAATCCCAAAACACAATCAGAAAGAGTATATGCACCCCTATGTTCATAGCAGGATTGTTTATAATAGCTAAGATCTGGAAACAGCCCAAGTACCTGCCCATCAGATGATGGAATATAAAAGCAGTGGCACAGTTACATAATAGATTACTATGCAGCTGTGAAAAAGAAGGATCTCTTACCCTTTGCAACACCATGAATGGACCTGGACATTATTATGCTAAGTGCAATAAGCCAGAGAAGGACAAATTTCACATGATCTGACTTCTATGTGGAATCTAATGAACAAAATAAACTGATGAACAAAATAGGTCCAGAGGCATGGATGCATGCAACACACTCACAGATTTCAGAGGGGATGGGGGTTGAGGGGAAGACTGAAAGAGATTAACCAAAGAACTTATATGCATATATGCATAGCCCCATGGACACAGACAATAATGTGGTGAAAGCCAGGGGTGGGCTGGGGGCTGGGTGAAGGGGACATCTGTAATACTGTCAACAATAAAAAATAAATTAAAAAATAAAGAAATGGATATACAGAAAAATAATTATTTTTTTCTCCATTGTCTCCTGTTCTTCATCAGTCACTCAGAGAAACAGAAACAAAAGATGTTTCCTCTGGGGCCTAATGAGTTCTTGGTGTTTATCCATGTCTGTGGCCACGATCCACAGTGTCTGAGGAGACTTCACAATCCACATGTATCTGAGGAGCCAGATGTGAGGCGAGAATGTGGGAACAGGAAACTTCGGAAAGATGGTGTACACGTGGTCTTTCATAAGGCGTCTGGGTGTCAGAACAGAGAGAAAGGCAAGCTTCCCGTGGCTGCTGCAGGAAGGAAGCCAGACCGACTGGGTACAAATGGGCCCTGAGGAACACTTGGCCATATGACTTGTTTGGTGAATGTAGAATAGAAGAAGTGACAGGACCTGCTCAAAGCCATTCTCAAGGTCACGATACAGTGTATTGTAGGACAACATCACTTTGGAAAAGCTCCCTGGGACCCATTAACCCAAAGGAAGAGTTGTTTAGACCAAACAGCATGGTCTGCCACCAGGAGAAAAGTCATGTTTTCTTCATGTTTTCTTCTTACTATGTAGATGAACCCCATTACTTCCCACCAAGGTGAAAGTGGGGACAAGGCCAAATAAGCATTTATGTTATCCTCTCGGCTCCCTACACTTGGACACAGTACAATGGATGACCTGCTCAGCACATCTCATGTTGGCACATCCTGCAGGAAATCTGACCCCGCTCCCCCCGCCTTGCCCCCATCAGCACAGCATCAGGTCCCCACTCCCAGAGTCTACAAGTTGCATTTTAGGTAACCTCATGATATTGATCACTCTCAGAAGTGATTTCTTTTTGGTTCAGCCAAATGTTTCATCTGTCCTAGGAGGAAGCAGAAGAGAAATGGAAAAGGCGCGAGGGTGATGAAGGAAAGGAACTTTACCAGAGGAAGACACATACAAAGCCCTTGGAGAAGCCCAGATCAAAACAGGAGAGAAGATCACATCAGACAAACAGCAGCCAATGTGAGGCTGGGCCTATCCTCCTGAGTATTTCTAGAAAACCAACCCTAATTCCCATGATCTATGGGACCAGGATGGATCTGTGGGGTTAGCTTTTTCTTCAATCTCCAAGCCAGAAAAAAACACCCCATTCTATATAATAAAAGGGTAATATGCAAATAGACTGAACGGCTGAACAACCTGAACAACCAGAATGCCTGTGGCCCTTGCCTCGCCTGCCCTGACCCCCAGCGGCCCCCCACCCTGATCAGAGGCAGGGCGGCTGGCAAACCGCCCACAGCCCCTCGCCCCGGCCGGCCCTGCCCCCGATTACCCCCCCACCCCAGCTGGTCCGCTCCCAATGGCCCTCATCAAGGCAGGCCAGCTGGACCCTACCAGTGCACGAATTTGTGCACCAGGCCTCTAGTCATTTTATAAAAGAGCACCAAAGACCTGATGGGTGAAACGAGTGGAGAAGTGTTTCACATCATCCTTTCAGAGCAACAAAGAATTTGCAAGATTGTGATAAAGAATGTGAAGTTCTGTCATTTATGCTCTGCGTTCTCATATAGGAATCTTAACAAAAAAGTTTAAAATGACAAAATTTGGCCCTACATGAAGAAGGAATCCTCTAATGGGCAGAGGTTTCAGAAGATGGAGGAAGTGAGTGACTGAACTCACAGGAATGCTAGGACAGGCCAGACCAGATAGCTCGGTGAGGGGTTCCATATTCTATGGTCTAGATCAGTGGTCAGCAAACTCATTAGTCAACAGAGCCAAATATCAACAGTACAATGATTGAAATTTCTTTTGAGAGCCAAATTTTTTAAACTTAAACTCTATAGGTAGGTACATTGTTATTAACTTAATTAGGGTACTCCTAAGCTGGCCTTTGCTAAAAACGTCCTCAATCTGATTGAGGTACATTCGCTGAGGTGGACCCCTTCCAACTCTTCCATCCTCAACTTGTGCATGAATCGCGCGCCTCCCCCGCACTGCGTCTCCCGTCGCCTGACCGACCGACACCCCCCACTTCTTCTAACGCCACTTCTTCAAAATAGACTCACCCAGGCCGAAAACCGACTTCTGCGCATGGGCCACGAAGTTTTAATAGCACTGTATGTGCGCGCCCGCACGTGGTATTTTGTGGAAGAGCCACAATCAAGGGGCCAAAGAGCCGCATGTGGCTCGTGAGCCGCGGTTTGCCAACCACTGGTCTAGAGGAACTCATGGGCTGCCTGAACTGGGAGCAGATAACCTTCAGTCATCCCAACACTGAATTTCCAGGCCACCTGCTTTCCCCAAGGTCAACGAGTTTGATCACACACTCAACTGAGTAAAAGCCAACAATCTCACAAATGACTGAAACTACGGTACGTATTTTACATAGCTACCTCAAAAATAAATAATGAAAAGAAAAAGAGAGGAGAAAAAAGAAAACCAAAAGATCATTTACTCTAGGAATCCCGGTTTGTGTTTATGCTCCACATGAGGTCCAAATTGTATCTGGGCTTGAAATCCACCAAACTCACAGGCTTTCTCGAAGGAGACAGGGTGGGAGCCATTCAGGATATCATCCCGAGCCTGCAACACAAGAGGAAGCAAAAAGCATCAGGAGCTTGGGGGGACGACACATTCTGCCCGCTGACAGGTTCCTGCACCTGACTGATACCTTCCCGCACCTGGACGCACCCACTCTGTGCAGCAAGGGGAAATGTGCCCGCCGACCCACAGCGATGCATCCAGGACACGGTGGTGAATGTAGCACAGCAGGGGTAAGGCAGTAAGAAAACAAGTCTTTGCCCAAAATTGCCTACAGATGGGCAGCCTCAGCAGTGCCCTGTATATGAAAACTAAAGCTTGAGTATATTCTAGGAAGGCAGAAGTGGGTCATGAACAATAGAAGCAAAGAAATCCTTGTGAAATTACCACATCCATGGGGGGGACAGTGGGGGGGGGGGGGAGATACAATATACTTTCTATAACCCTAAATCATAAAAGGAACAGAAAAATTACCTAGAGGTAAAAATCAACCCAAACCCCATCCCAAGATATAAAAGGAGGAATGAGGAGAGAGACAGTCAGACACAGGAACTCACTGCTGCAGATATTTAGGGGAAATGATAAGCAAACACAGTCTTAGAATGAGGAACTCACTGTGTCTGAAGTTATTCTCTCACTTCTTGACCCATCACTGCTGTTACTATTTATTTTCTTCCTTCCTTCCTTTTCTTTCTTTCTTTCCCTCTCAGATGGACATGCTAACCTACGGCTCTGAGCCGTCTTATTGCCCTACTTCTCTTTCTTCCCTCCTTCCAGCCTCTTTCCTCCTAACTATCCTTCCATACCCTTCTTCCATCCATTAACTAAAGGATCGGCAAACTTTTCCTGTAAAAGGGCAGACAGTCAGGTCAGGTGGGCCTGCTGTCTCTGTCAGAACTACTGAATTCTTCCCTGGAGCACGAGAGCAGCCACGGACAACACGCAAACAATAATGCATGAGGGGATTTACCAATGTGCACTATGTTAACAAATGGGCTGTGTTCTAATAAAACTTTATTTACAAACACAGGGGACGCTGTGGCTGCACTTTTTCTGTGGGCACATAGGTGGATAAACGGAAGGAAGAGGGGAGGAGGAAAGGAAAGAATAAAAGAAGTGAGACTGGGAGACAGGTGGATGTTTTCCTTGAGCCAGAAGAAACCCTGGGGACGGTCTAGTGCAGTGATGGTGAGCCTATGACACGCGTGTCAACTCATTTTTTTGGTTGATTCTTCTTTGTTAAATGGCATTTAAATATATAAAATAAATATCAAAAATATAAATCTTTGTTTTACTATGGTTGCAAATATCAAAAAATTTCTATATGTGACACGGCACCAGAGTTAAGTTAGGGTTTTTCAAAATGCTGACACACCGAGCTCAAAAGGTTCGCCATCACTGGTCTAGTGTGAAGCCCACATCTTACGCATTGGGGAACCGCAACTCTGATAAGTTCAAGGACTTGTTTGAGCTTAAAAAATTAGTTAATAGAAAAGCAAAAAAGGTTATTGAGAGAATGTTGCTCAGTTAATGAGAAGCACTGATTTTCTGACCAATTTTTGCTTGTGTTCTAAGATGTTCGCTAAGCCAGCTTTAGTGCATTTGAAGTGGTGAGCTAGCTAAGGGCCTTGAAGCCAGGCAGAGAGAGAGAGTACTGGCCCCCAGGTCCCAGTCTGGGAGGCCACATAAAGGCCCTCTTCTGGATGGCCAGCAGCTCATGTCAAACACCAGCCTGCACCACAACCAAACATGTGTGAGGAACCCAGGAGCCATGCCCCTGAACGGCATGCACACACATGATAGAAGCCAGAGCCAGCTCCCACGCAGCCCCAATCCCAGCCCAGCCAGCACCTTCCTGAACCCTCACCAGCCTCCAGGTCTGAGCATCAGAGGGAGAGGTACCTGAACATAGAGCAGGTTCAGCTGCACCGGGTCTCTCGAGTCCACGTTCTGATCCGAGTAAAAGAACTTCCGTCTAAGCAGCAACGTTTCGTTTTCATCGACTCCTTGTTCTCTGAATGTCCGGCTGTGATCCAGCCAATTCACTGCAACACAGCACCACAGATAAAAGAGCCGTGTTTATTCTTCCTCTGGGTTTAGGGGATTTATCAAGACAGCAGCATAATACAGACCAGATTTCTATAATGCTGACATTCAGGTACAGTGACTTCTTACATTAGAACTGTGCATTCTAACTTTGCAAATAATTTCACATATGCCCTCATGTACCATATGACACAGTGAAAGGAAATGAGAGAACATTCCAAGCCATTCTGAAACTTAGTTAAAGCCCCACAATGAATTTATAATATGCCCCTTCCTTCTGGGGGTTAAAAGAAATAAGGAAATCAATGCTTTATGCCAAGACAACCCAGTTAGCATTTTCCTTTAAGTCAGAGTGGATACTTCTGTCTCATCAGGTAAAATAATTTATAAGCTTTGAGCATAAGAATTACCTCCAACCCTAAATAGAAATGAGGAGGAAAATAAAAGCAGTTGGGGGGAGGGGACACTAAGGTAGCAGGGGGTGGGAGAACCCTGCCCATGGCCCAGCTTGAATCTCACTCAGTCAGAAAATGCACAGCTGATGTCAAGGTGCATAGGCCTCTACTCTCCCCACAGCTCTCATTCCCACAGTCCTCCGGGGCTTCACACGTACATTGTGAGTAAATATGTATTACAAGCCTCACTAGATTATACGCAACCTTAGCACGGGGAATGTGTTGGGTTGACCTCATCTCCCATAGTACCTAGGAGAGTATCATGCACATTATAAAAATCCTTGGGATTTGTCTATGAAGGTCTCCCTGGGAAAGAAGTATGCAACTGGAAATCAAATAACGTAGAAAAAAAGCGAAAGGAGAAAGGGTCAGAGGAAATGAAAGTCCCACTGAGGATCAATAAACATAAAGACAATGATGACATCTTCCCAATGCAGCAGCAAGAACAATGGAAGAGAGGTTGAGAAAGTCTAAGTGGCCTGCACATGAAGTAAGATCCCCTGGCGGGGGAGGTGTCAGGGAGCCAGTGCACACAGCACAGACCTTTTGGGGACACATGGAGTATACAAATGGCTTTTCCAAATATTAACAGTGTGGCCATACAAAATTATTTTCCTGTGACAAAATTACATTACCGTTTTGTAACCCCCAAGGAAATAATGTATCCAGGCAGTTGTCATGAGTGGCTGTTAACATCACAAAAAAGGAGACAACCAGATACAAGTTCCTGATGGGAAGTACAGCAGGTCCTTGAATAACGTCATTTTGCTATAATGTTGATGAGATGCTGTAGGAACTGAAACCTTGTTTATATCAACTGGTCTCTGGTAAAATTGGTTTCATTATATGTCATTTTGCTGAATGTTGCAGAGCCTATCGATGATGTTAAATGAGGACTTAATGTACACAACATCACATATGAAGGAGACTGTATTTTTAAAAAATACACATACACATGAATCTGATCCAGCCTGCAGATCTCAGGAATTAAAGGGGGTGGAAGAACATATTAAATGACACCATAAGTATGCAACCAACAAAATCCAGATTACACGAAACTCTATACAAGTAACAAGATGGTGTCTTGCCCCTAAAAATTTGAAGAAAAAAAAATGTAAAAGATGTAGGGAAGTTCTCGACAGTAAAAGAGGCAAGCAGTGTATCATTCAACATAATTTGGACCCCAGTTCAAACACTGTTGAAAAAAAAATTTCTTTAAGACAATGGAAAAATGTAGACATGATTTGTCTATTTGATATTGAGAGATTACCTTTTTGGATGTGAAATGGCATTTCAGCTACTTTTTCTTAAGAGTCTCAATCCGTTAGTGACACAGACCAAAATATTTACAGATGAAATAAAAAACAGAAAGAAAATACAACAACACACAAACACCTGCCCTGGGTCATACAGATGATGGGAGGGGGCAGCATGGCAAACCCATGTGCCTGCCTCCCTTCCGCCCAGAACTTACAGTCGTCATCCGTGTGCAGCTTAGCCTTCAACTTCTCCATTTTCCTCTCGTCTCGTAACAGCGTCCTGTCTTTTTTTAGTGTCCCCGTCCCTTCCTCTTTCTTTTCTTCGATTGTTTCTTGGATTAAAGAGTATTCTTCATAGTTTGTTATTCCTAAAAATATAAGTTAGGTTATATGATCAGAGGTTACACACCGCTATCGCCCTTATCAGTGTGGGTCCTGTACTACCCAAGGAGTCCCTGGTGGCAAAGGACAGAAAGAAGCGTTAGCCCAGGTGAGGGTCGGGGCCACCCATGGAGCACATATCAAATAACTCTGGCTAAATGAAGTATGTCCAGGTAGTTAAGTTACACTCATAATGTCATGTTCCATTCTCCTGTCTTGTTTTTAAGAAACAAGTAGAGATCATGCAGAACAAGGCAAGACAATGTCAAACAAGAAGGGGCTGAAGGAACGGGGCTTCCTTTGAATCCAGAGGAAACAAAGACAGGCCAGGCTACTTTCTTCAAATATGTGAAGGGCTTCATGTAGAAAGGAAACAGAGTTGTTCTCTGAGGAGATAAACAGACGCTACGAGAAGAAAAGCTCTGTAACAACCAATCATATATAGGCTGTCCCCAGGAGTCTTTATGGAGATAATAGAATGCCCAACAGTGGTGAGAGACTGAATCATATGACTTCAGAAACATTATTTTCTACTAGAGGCCCGGTGCACGAATTCATGCACCAGTGGGGTCCCTTGGCCTGGCCTGCAGGATTGGGCTGAAACCAGCTCTCCGACATTCCCAAAGGGGTCCCGGATTGTGAGAGGGCACAGGTCAGGCTGAGGGACCCCACCGGTGCACAATCGGGGCCGGGGAGGGACGCAGGAGGTTGGTCAGCCAAGGAGGGACCAGGGGGGGCTTCAGGGCATGTCTGGCCTGTCTGGCTCAGTCCTGATAGGCCAGACACCAGCAGCAAGCTAACCTACTGGTTGGAGCGTCGGCCCCATGGCGGTCAGTGCACATCATAGCAACAGATTGACCAGTCAACTGTCTGCTCCCTGGTGGTCAGTGTACATCATAGCAAGCGGTTGAGCAGCCTTAGCATATCATTAGCATATTATGCTTTGATTGGTTGAACCGCTGACCAGACAACCGGACACTTAGCATATTAGGCTTTTATTATCTAGAATTTTAAAATTCCTTATCTTTTTTTGAATGTTTTTATTGATTTCAGGGAGGAAGGGTGAGGGAGAGAGAGATAGAAACATCAATGATGACAAAGAATCATCAATTGGCTGCCTTCTGCATTTCCCCTACTGGGGATTGAGCCTGAAAACCATGTGTCCTGATCTGGAATCGAACCATGACCTCTTGGTTCTTAGGTCAATGCTCAACCACTGAGCAACACCAGCCAGGCAAAAATTCCTTTTTTTTTTTTTTAAAGGGAAATAAAAGCTCTCAATTTTGACTTAGTAAGGGAGTTCAAATGTTTATAGACCAGTTAGTGAGTTTGCAAATTGAGAGAATAATCAGACTCTCTTGGGAATGGCAGACATCAGTGCATTAGGACACACTCAAGATGGTCTCAGCAACGAATGAGGGGGGGAAAAAAAGTAGAGGCGTGTGATTCACACGAAACAAAAACGGGAATCGAGGCAGGTGCATACTCACCTATCCTGCTGCAAATAGTCACCAGGAGCTCCCCGACCGTCTTGGAGTCGTCCACCATCACCGTCTTCACAGCCCCATCCAGCATCCGGATTTTCTGAGGCCTCTGTTTCTTTTTGTATTCCAAGATATCCTAGGACAAACCACACAAACAGGTCATACTGCATGTGGGACAAGATAATGGACTTGGACACTTTCTTTAAAAAATGAACTTTCCCAAGCACGTTCTGATTTCTTCCTTCAAAGTGTTCATATTTTCGCCACTAAAATGGAAATGCCCAGGCTAAATAATTGCTTTCATCAAGATTTCTTAAAAACCTGATGGTGCAATTGTACCCAAAGAATACACTGATTAGCTCATAATTAGTGAAAACTAACCTCTATAAAGTGGAAGCGGCATATGCCCTCCTGACAGGCTGGGGATGCTCTGCTCTAATGAGAATTAGCAGAGGAAAATTCCTACCTGCCTTTAAAAAGACAGCAGTGTGCATCTCCAAGTATCTCTTATTCAGTTATAAGCAATGTTTAATTTCCGTGTCATGGAGCCCATAAATAATACCCCCATAATTCTTCACAGTCGTGGTGTATCACAGTAGAACTGGTTTTCATTGTAATGGCAAGGCCAAGTATGGGTAATACCTTTGGGAGTTATTTTTAAATAGAGTCTTCTTTTTTTACCACACGTCTTAAAAATATTGGAGGGAAGTGTTAATTGGCAAACATACTTCACTCTTGTTTTATGGAATACTGACCAATCAGATATATGCATTTCATATACCAAAACCCAGTATCTCGAAGATTCAGCTAAACAGAATATTGAATTTTTTTTACTCATTAGTTCTTTCCCCTTCCATACCACAACTATTTTTTGTTGCTACTTTTATGAATAGTTATTAAACTTACATCCAATATGAACTTTCTTTTACAAGAGTAAAACACCAATTAATATTCAATCTCTGACTACCGTCAGTATTATATTTTTATTTTTCCTCTAATCCATCATTACTTTCTATCACCACTCACCAGGGAATACTTCCTACATACTCACAGGAAAATGCTGTGCCTTCTTTCATAACTACCAAGTCCAACAAGGGCACGTAGAAACAGTTTTAAATACTAACCCCAAGTTGCTTTAATTACTCTGGATTTTCAAGAATTTGGACTGCTGATATCTTCTATCACTACCTGGACAGCCCTTACGAAGTACATTGCATCAAGACTACTAATAAGATGCCCTTGAATCAAAATCAATTGTTGGGTCTCTCCTTTTCTTTCAAGCATAATTATATTGGCTTCCATGGAAGGCTCAGGACAAAGCGATGAAAAAAAGAAAAACAAGATCAGCAGCCTACCCCATTTCGTAACATGTAGTAGTCCAGTGTTCTGCCCGCTTCCAGCCAGATTCCTTTCCTGGGGTCTTCATCAGAGAGAAACAGCCCATAATCAGAAGCTGGAAGGTTAACAGAAAGAAAAATAGGAGACAAAGCGACGATGAAGCCATCACTGACACAGCCCGTCTGCTGACTGGGCTAGGACGCGAGTCTTCTCCTTCAACAGAGAAATGTTTCGTTTTGACACCACAAGCAGCCACTGGGACTAAAGCAGATGAGGAGGAATAAGAACTGAGCTGCAAAACCAAACCCCTCCGACAAGGTTGATGTTGCTGACCACCAGTGGGCAGTACTTATGTTAGAACTGAGAAACTATCAAGGACAAAGCAGTCCCAATTTCCTTCTAACCGAATTTGGCTTTGTTCCTTATACTTGTTCTAAAAACCAGGCCAAGGACGCGTGAAGGATGACAGGACAGACCTGGAGAAATGCAGACGTGACCATCTAAGCCCAGCACCACTCGGGCACAGAAGGGCCCGTGGAGCCATTGCACTTGGAATGGTCCCTCCGTCCCGCCAACGCGTGTGACGAAAGGTAAGCAGGGGCTCCCTGTGAAATGGAGCCTCTGCTCTCATGTCACCAAATTATGAATAAGGTTGGAAAATTAAAGTCCATGTTCTCCATAGAAATCCCCTGAAGTGACCCGGAAGTACAAAGGGTGGCGGAGAGAAGCAGTCGCATTTCCTGTCTAAGGACGTGTTTTTTCTTAATGTGATTCCAGGAAACCCCAGGGACTCAGGGAGGTTGGAGCTCCTGCTGTTTCTCAACAAAACAGCTTCCAGGTCTTCACAGGTTTCTTCTTCCCGAGCTGCAGAGCAGCCCAGCCCAAGGGCAGGGCACCTGGAGGAAAACAGCAACTGGGAAGTGAAGACACCAGAAATGATCGAACTGGGTCTGGAAGGAAGGCTGGAGAAGTAAGCAACTGTTACTTCTGGGTAGTCTACGAATAACAGAGTGCTTTGAATAATTTAAATGATGCTTTTGACCTAACGGTCAGCAGTTTTGTAAGAAACAGATCTCTGGAAGGAGACCCATTCTACCTGTAATTATCCTTGGCACGTTTGAGTTTTATGCTTCCAATTTTTAAGGTAAATCTTATACCACTTTCAGACTAAAGGTCTATCAATTTGGGAGTAGTCCCAGTTTCTCAAGGGTCAGGCCAATAATCACTAAGTAAAGGAAGGACATGTAGAGAGAAGACAAAGGGAAATGGAAAAATGGTATGAGCGGCTTTTGTTTAAATTCAGATTAATGGGGGTCAGTGGTTTAACAAAACACTAAACAAAACATATAAAACAAATGCCCTTTGAAAAAACTGTTTCAGATAAAATTCATAAAGCCCCCCGCCTCCTTAATAAAGGTTCGAGATAAAATGTATAAGCCCCTTCGAAGTACTGCATACATAAGGCGGCCCTGGGTCCTGCTGGCGGTTCCGGGCTTGTCAAGCTGCTGTATGGGAGGTCCTCATGCACCCGAAACAGGGCTCAGGATCTACAAAACCAGCAGCTACACTGGTACGTTAGAGGCCAAGGAGACGGTGTGTCAGAGGGGCTTGCACACTGCCTAGCACGATGCTGATCTATGGGCCAAGAGGATGGCGTCGCTCAGCGGCAGATGTGGTCATTGTCATCAGAAGCCTCGCACAGGAAGCAAGCGGTGTCCAGGCGAGGAAGACATTTCATTGGAAACATAGACACTGGCGGGCATGTTTACCATCCCGAGCCTCCGTTTCTTTCACTATAAGTGAAGATCACACAAACACCTTCAAGAAACCAGTGAGTCACCCGCGGCTACCTTGGCCAGTTTGCGCCTCGGGCACCCGCTCCCGGATGAACCGACACGCGTCGTACACGGCCGTGGACGGCTCAAACTGCATGGTCTTCACCACATTGCAGTGGCGGACGCAGATCTTTAAGGACAGGGCCACCATCTTCATAGGTGATCCGAAGACTCTCACTTAGAATGTCTGGAAAACACAAAGAGACAAATCCTGATGCTCATGATGACTGTTCGTCTTGAGGGGAAAAAAGCACACTAGACTCCGAATCAGCTTTAAAAATAAAATCACTAGACTGAATCAGCTTCAGGAGAATAAAACAGCTAACGAGAATGCTGTGAGTAAAAACACAAATTAAAAAACTAGGTTTTTTGAAAAACTTTAGAATAAGAGCAGCATAGAGTTTTGGGGTTGACAGTGTGGCCACTGGAGTCCCTTGAGAGGAAGGAATTCAGGAGTCACCAAGCCTCCTTCTCTCAGGCTGCTCCCTACTTGGGGTTTCACTGGGAGTGGCATTTCCCAGGTGCCTGCCCCTCAGGTGAGAGGCAGAGAGCCTTGGGCACGCACCGCTGTCTCCTGAAATGCTCCTGGCGGCAGCCTCAGTGCCGGCTCCCTGCCCATCAGCTCCTGGGGAAAGAGGATGAAGCACCAATGCCGTCACAAATGTTCCCGATGGCAAGAGTTCCACCAAACCACGTACCAGAAGACTTGGCTTCCAGACCCAACCACATCCCCAGAGATTATAAATCTGAGCAAGGCATTTTGGCCACTCTGCCTCAATTCCTCCCAGATAAAGTAGGTACAGTGGTATCAGCCCTGCATAATTCATGGAAGAACTGAATCCTGAGGGGACACCAATGCCAGACTGATAAACAGCCATCACTAATGAGGCCAGAACGGCCCATTTTAAACACCCAGCATAGCAAACAGCTGCACCCTCTTCAGGGGTCTCAAAGTGAAGAAAATGCCAATTCAATTATTTCATTTAGACAAACTACTGGGATATTTTGCTTCTCATCCCGTTCAATGGCTTTAGAAAACAAACAGGTTTAGGCTAGGTTTGAAATAATGCATAAATAATTTCTTTTCAAATTTAAATCCAATGAGTTAGTGCATTTACTTTGAGTCAGTGGCTTCTGGTTTGTGCTGGCTACCTGCTCTCTTCTGTGGCCAGAAACTTACCCGCCTCCCAAGCCAGCCTCTTCCCTGCACCTGAGAACCCAGCTGCCATCCTGGCCAGCAACACAGGTGCTTTATAGTCAGCAGCTGTTAGAACTAGAGTGGGGTGAATAACCTAAGTCCATGGGAATTTTAAGCTCACACTATTTTGTCTTTTATTAGACAATCCTCAGGTAGTAAAGCTGTACCCCAGAGCACCCTGTATGCCTCCTTCCCACTTAAGAATGCAAGTGCACCTTAGTTGGTTTGGCTCAGTGGATAAAGCGTTGGCCTGTGGACTGAAGGGTCGCGGGTTCAATTCTGGTCAAGGGCACATGCCTCGGTTGCAGGCTTGATCCCCAGTAGGGGGCGTGCAGGAAGCAGCCAATCAATGATTCTCTCTCATCATTGATGTTTCTATCTCTCTTTCCCTCTCCCTTCCTCTCTGAAACAAACAAGTATATATATATACACACACACACATATATATATATATACATACATATATATATTTTAAAAGAATGCAAGTGCTAAGAAGCAGTGAGGTGGCCCACACACAGAGAGGACAACAGGCTGACCGGCGAGACTAGAAAATGGGTGCCCCTGGGGTCACTGCTCAGTAGGCTAGATTGACAGCCAGCTTCCTGGCAGCAGGTGACTAAAATCATTTGGGTACAGAGGACATTTTTAGACAGATACACTCGCATGAAGCAACCACTGAGGCCATCCGACTCTAAAGTCATTCTGACCTCTATTTACACTCAGTAAATTCTGTCTGTGAAAATGTGACAATATTTATTACTTGAGAAATGTTAAGCTATACTTCTCAACCAACAACAGCAGTGTTCAGTGGGAATCTGCCCCAAACTGAATTAATTACCACAGCCTGGGCAGTGACTAGATTGTGGACACAGCAGAGAAGTAAAAAAATACCTTCTGATTTTCCATCTATAAAATCAAGAACTTTTAAAGCCAAATATAAACGGCTCTATCCAACTCTCTCTGTGCAGGCACATTTAACCAACTCCCCAATTTGGGAAAACAAAATTTAAACTCTAGAAACAGACAAATTTCCTATAATGTAGATCACTCCATGGGATAGATAATCTGTCGCCTGGGGCTGGTGACAATGTGGGGTTTCATGAACCACTGAGCTCTATGAGCACCGAGGGTGGTAGGATTCAGTGGGGAAGGCCACAGGCTCGATGTTGTCATGGATGCAACTTATGGGATGCACCGGAGAGGATGGGTGGTTAGTGTCTTCCATGCCCTGGGGATGGGAAGTAGTGTAAGTGTCCCTGCATGAAGGCTGCTCATCCCAGGCTAATCATTAGGCTTTCTGAAGAGCAAATGAATGGTCCCTGCAGCCACGCAGGGAGATGGATTCAATCAAAGGGACAGACAGAGCCCATGACGTGAAGCCACAGCAGGACAGTAAACACAGGCGCTCCGAGGAAGCAAAGACACACAGGGGAGCAAGGAGACGGGGAATGCAGAAGCAGAGAGCAGACGGAAGAAGCAGGGAGACTGCAGCACAGAGGCTGGGAAACACAGGAGAGAAGCCCAGAGAGTTGGGAAGCAAAAGGGAAAAGGAGAAACATAAAAAATACAACAGTGAAGGAAAATCTCTATCCCAAACAACTGGAAAAGTGAAGAAGCCATTGACGGAGGTGGGGGGAGCTGCTGGAGGCACAGGTTTGGGGTAACAAGTCTCTGATGAGTTTGTCTGGGGTTATTCAGTGGAAAGGTGGAGGAGAGTCAGATACAAAGCAGGGGACGTAATAGGGAGGGCTACTGTATTTAAATCCTTGGGACTAGAAAGATCATTGAGTGAGTAAAAAAGAGATCCGAGGACCAAGTCCTGGAAAGACGTTCTAAAATCAGGACAAGGAGAAGGAAATGATAAGAAGGTGGTGGGTGAGGGAGGAGAGTGGAGAGAGGGTGGGGCCAGAAAAAGGTGCATTGAGCAGGAGGGAGAGATCCACTGGGCTAAAGGCTGACGCAGTTCAGGGAGGATGAGGACTGAGAGGATGAGGATTGGCAGCTTGGAGACCTCTGGCAGCTGAGAAAAGAGGAGCAGGTTCAGGAAAGAGGTGAGGAGAGGGGCTGGCAGCACAGGAAAAGACTCACCTCCCGAGGAGCTGCTGGAAGGGGTGGGGGAACAGGTGGCAGCTCTGATTTATGCTTTTAAGGCTTTTATCCAGAAGTACACATCGCAGGGCTGCTGCCAACTCCACAGCCACACATTATCTATATGGACATGGTTCCCCCCAACTGTGATCCCAGGGGGAGTCCCAGGACAGCGAAGTGCCCTTCCTGGAGGAAGGAGCCTCACCACATGACCTCTCTACTGGGCCCTGTCCATGCTGCTGCCTGGCTCTGCGTGAGAGCAGAGGAGCAGGCAAGTCTTGGCTCAAGGACGGGGTACAGGACCAGGAGACTAAGGTTCAGGTACAATGCCAGGCCCATGAAGCCTTGGACCTCTGGGCCCCATCGCCTCTCTTCTTTCTGCTCCTCAGGGAGCGGGAAGCCACCGGCTCCCATGGAAGGAGCTGGCTCCCAGAAGACGCTTGGTGTTTGGCCAACTATTCCCACGGGATCCCTTTGTCTCCACATCTTAACATCTCACCAGGGAATAGAAGCCACTATCCTTGTTCAGGGTAGATGCTCAACAGAACAAGGGACACCAGAGATTCATTACAAGGTTCATGTTCTCAACTTTTGTATTATCTCAAAAACAACTATTGAAAAAGCCATCATTACTACATGGGAACACACAAAAACACCAGAAAACAAAGTCAGTCCCTCCAAAAGAGCTCTGCAGTAGTCGAAGACTTAAAGACTCCAATTTCTTCTTCTTTCTCTTAGCTCTCTGTTTTATTATGACTAAATGTTCCCAAGCACGAAACGAAAAAGACCAGCATTCTCCTTCATGAAGATGTCTAAAAAATGCAAATTATGTACATGAAAAATTATTTCTAAACTATACAAGTATGTACGAAGACAAGGTATTTTTGTTATTATCATGCAAGAGGATCACCCACACAAGAAAACCTCAGTGAGATGTGAAACCAAATGCACAGTGATTTAATCACCAGCCCACAGGGACCATGGTACTGAGCTATGTCTAGCACCACTCACACCAAAACGGACATTTGCTGGAATTAAGTGTCCTGACTTTTGACAAAAAGAAAGCAGGATTAAAGCACATGGCAACCTAGAAATGTCAACTAAAGATGAGCATGTGTTTTCACCACTTGGGAGAAGTCTCACTACATCTCCACTAAAGCCCTGGGAAACCACACAGCTCAGACAACATGTCATGATAAAGCCTGGCGCTCCCACTCCGCTGTGGTATTTTCAGGGCAGCACAGCACGGGTACAGCAACTGGCCCTCACTTCCACTCTCTGTATCCTCACCCCCTGCTCATCCCGGCCCTGCAGGCTGGGAGCCTGAGAGCGCTGACCAGGGTGCCTTTTCTGGTTGGGCTGCAAGAGGCCTCAGAGCCAATGCATGTACTGTTTCTTGTATGTAGTTCTAGTCCAATCTGCCTCTCTTTTATGATCCTATCCTGGTTTTTGTTTTTTCTTTTGCCCCAATTGGAATGTATGCTATCTTATTAGACCTTAAGTCCTTTTGTTTGTTTGTTTTGCTAAAAGGCAGGGCATAGATGCGTAAAAGATGCATTACTTTTCTTTTTATAATCTCTTCCCACTCTGACCATTTTTGCCCCAATTGTGTGTGTGAAGGTCGCCTGGACCAACAAAAACCTTCTGTGCCATCCATTGTGGAAGATGAGCCAATGGAACCAGTGGTGAAACCCAGACATTCTCCTTCTAAAGTAAATACTTTTCAGTCCCCGGGAGCTGTAAACAACCCAGCATGATGGCAGTAGTGCCCGCTGCCCAGCCTCACCCAGTCCACCCTGGGCCAAATGAGCCCAGCTCAGCCAAGGCCTCCTGTCTGAAAGGAATGCCCACTATTGGTCAAGAAGAGCAGCCACCCCTTGGATCTCTGCCCTGTAAGTGAG